CACACACACACACACACACACACACACACACACACACACACACACACGCACACATACACACACACTCGCACACGCACACGCACACACGCTCACTTGTGTAACTTTCTTTTAAATGTAATTTTTTAATATGTTTCAAAACGATTTCTTAATAATCCTTTCAATATTTAAAAATTTCTAATATTATTTGCCTCCTGTTTATGACTTCATGTGAACAGTAAGAGTTTTATTCTATTTAATTTTCTTTCACATAACCTTATTTTTGTTTACTGACTGTACTATTGCCAAGAGGAGGAGTGCTATAACACTGGACTTGCCTACTTTTGGCTCCTGTTTCTCTTCGTAAGTTAATGATTTTTATTATATTCACAGCGCTACAGTAACTTGTTAAATAAAATTAAATACTCATAAATAGCTATCCAATTCTCCCAACGCCATCACAATTATCGTTACGTAACATCGAGTATTTGCCCAGTAATATCTGGTGTCAATTAGTAACTTATACTATTTTTCGGAAACCGTGACACCGTTTCACAAAAAGAGCGACGCCTAAAAAGAACTCCATTATTTCGCTTTGATGTTGTTAAGGTGTTATCGGAAGGATATACCTCGGCCTTTCATCTTTTTTTAGTAAGCCTTGTTGTTTTGAGTGGTGGAAATCGAGTGAGAGAACGATTGCTTTTGAATTGAGAAGTCGATAGTTTGGTTTATTCCCAGTAGTTCCATGCATCTCAGTGACAGCATAGGTACATGCCTTTAATTTCTGAGTTACGAGCATATGAATGTTCAATAATAATTTCTCGATAACTATCAAGGAATATATCGCGATTAAACCTGTGAAGAAGGTTGACAACTCTTGGAAAACAACGTGAAGTCCCTAACCCAGCACGGTGGCAGATAATCGCCTAAACCTTATCAATACCCGATAATGGGACGTGTAGTGAGATGAGTTTGAAACGATAATCGTGCCTTCGGCGTTGTTTTTGAATAACAGCAAAATATTAATTGAACATCTTTTATCGTTGGAACGTAATCCGATCAAAAGCTTTAAAGAAAATTGCTTTTTCTGATGGTAATGCGACGTAGGTGAGGCCGTTAAATAACTTATATTGTCCCGTCAAATGGCGATAAAAGAGCCGTTCCACGAGCGACAAAGTTCCTTCGTTAACGATAACAGATTGTATGACTCTTAAAATATTGGGACGTAAGTGCTAGGTGACAGTTTGGGTTAATAAATCTTATTATTATTAAGATTTTTTACGTTGAACAATGCTTACTTACTTACATTTATCTTCCTTTATACTTTCATATTATTCGTTTATACTTTCGTTTGCAACACAAATCGTTGGTAGAATACGTCAAGCAATAATACCACTAGAGGATTAAGCAATTTACTTTTTATGCCACCCTGCTGATGAATGATTCCCATTGACCTGAAAGTTAGAAATAGCTGTAAACATTAATACGCTAGCACACGATAGAAGTATTGTATAATTATTTAGGAGCTAACTAAACTTTAGACATTTAACAACGTCACAAGTACGTAAGAGATGCACAGCCTCATCTAACTTGTGTCCTTACTAATAAAGTCTTTTCGTATTTAGCTCATCTATCTATTTAAACAATTTGGCGTGAATACTATACCTTATTATATTCTGTCTCTTTATCTCTCTTTCTCTCTCCCTTTCTCTATCTCTATCTCTTTCTCTCCCTCTCTCTCTCACATACACACATACACACACAGGCACGCACACTTATTGGATAAACGCCTGTCTCTCACAAATATCAAAAGTACTTATCTGTTTAAAAAGGGTGCGTACAAATCTGGCAAATGCGCCTATTACGAAAGGTTTGCGAGATACACACGCGTGCTTGCTTCCTCTTAATTAAATTATCTATAACTGTAATTTTAATTTGATTTCATTTTTCATGTCATGTCCGCTTATTTCATGGTATTATAGATCCAATGTTATACTCTGTCTTTTCTGTAAAACGCAACCTGCCATTAACGTCGCCGTTTTCTCATCTTTTTTATTATTTAAATAGTTGATCCTGTACTTAGCAATAATGAGAACAGCCCGGCCATCGTCCGATATCTTCAAAAGGAATTTCACTACTGAAAAAAAACGAACTGAGTTACACGCGAAGAAGAGAACGCGCGAGTCGCGCGCATTTTGTGTGCCTTGCGTGAGATGTGATTATAGAGACACACTTAACTGAACGCGTGCAGCTCACATGATGCGCATTCGCCAGATCTACGCACCCCAAGCTCTGTTCTAAAAATATATATTCTTCTTACTAGAGTTTTTCGATTACTTCATCGTTATAACACTAGCACTTATGATATTCAATTAAAATAATAGGGCCGCAGCTTCTTATTACATTCTGTTTACACGTAGTTGGCCAAGTACGAGTTACATAAATTAGTTGATGCCAAAAAACTAAGTAGGTATAATGTCTACCAGAATCTTGTAAATCATGGGAAATTGAAAATTATTATTATAGCTACACTCATATAATAAACAATAAAATGTTCTTTATTATTTGAGAGTTTTAACGTTCTACGCTTGGGCAATATTTTACTTAATTTACGTTTTGCCTGTTCCAAAAATATTTAACATTTTTTTATTGTTGTTTCCTTACATCACAAACTTTCTAAATAAATGTGATTGAAATAAGATTATGCGCTAAAATGAGATGTTGTGCTGATATAGTAACCTGTTACCATTGAGCTTCTGCAAACATATAGAACAATGTAACATATACCACAATGTGACCTACGCAATGCCTTTGATGTTCGGTGTCACCGCCGCCCGTGCAGGTACTTTTCAGCTGTCGTGAGTCGTTTTCAGATAACCTCAAAAATGGATCCTTTTCAATAACTTTCGTGTTATTACATGAATGCTAAACATTATTTATTTAAAAAAATTGCTTGTTTACTTGGGCTGTGTTACTCATCAAAAGACTACTTTACTACGCTACAGTAATAAATAAAAATGATAAAAAGTGGGTCACTTCTCATTCATCTCCGGCTCGTTCGGCTCCGAGCCGGTTCCACGTATCCCTAATTGGAAGAAATGAAATAAAAAAAGATGTTTTCATGGGACTACGAAATGTGTTCAAATTTTTCTTCTCATTACTTAGTGATGTTTCAAGTTAAAACCGCCTAATAACAACACTTCATACCGTATCACCTTTATACGTCGCAAAAGTAAGAATGGGCTCCTGCCGGACTGGAGGGACCACAGTGAAGCAACCTGTGCATTTCCATTTTAGCAAAAAATCAACTTAAATTTATTCATTCATTTACGGCAATCTATGTAAATCAGTGTTAAATTATAGTCTTATAAACTTTAAAAAAATAAAAAATTCAAAAGTCTAAAATACTGTACGACATTGACAATTAAAAATGTATCCACATATCATTTGTGTAACTCTCATTCTTATCTACTTTTATGTTAAACAGTTAGGTATTTTATGTATAACAATTAGATGGTGATGATAATGATGGTGATGATGATGATAATAATGATGATGGTGGTGAGGTGGTGATGATGACACTGGCAATTATGGTGGTGATGATGATGGTGATAATGACGATAATGGTGGTGGTGATGATGATAATGGTGGTGGTGGTGATGAGATGGTGATTATGATGGTGACGATGATATATGTACATATACAATAAACTTTATAAGAAGACATTGACAAAATACTTATTTAGATAGATGGCCTTACTTAGACGGATGAGAAGGATTTTGTTCTTAGAAGTGAAATTAAAATGTTTATTTCATGTTAAATGTTGTTAAATGTTCTTTCGTGAACGACAAAATATTTTTATTCATTTCTCATTACTGTGCCATCTTTCTCATTTGGGTTTATGAGAAAATCGTTCGTAGTACCGTATTTTTGTTGATTTCACTTAAATATTTCTGTCATTTGATAATTATTGACATTATTTGTAATTTTTTTTAGACGTTTAAGACCTTAAAACCGAAAGAAAAATGCGTTTTACAAAATCACTCAAAAAGTGCCATTGAAATTCGAAAACTGAAATTCACCCTCTTAATAAATGCAAGGGTTGTCACGAAATAGAAAAAAACTGTGATTATTATTATATATATTACAATTATATATGTATATATAACAATTTATGGACCAGTTCCAAAATAAATGATTATATTTATAACAAAATCAAATGTTCTCAATAATTATTATTTATAATACACGATAATTATTAAATATTATTCATTTACTTACTAATAAAGATTTACAAGTTAGCACTGCCATATATTTACGTTACACTTATTTATAAATATTTTCAAATTACTATTATTAAATTTGATTATAAGGTTAGGTTAGTGGCCGATCCCGCTCGGCGCCGGCGTACCTTCGCGGCTGCGGGCGATCGGAGCGGGGGCTCCGTTCGCCAGTAAGTTTGGCAACTGCGAGAAGGACGACGAAGGGCGGTGTGGCCCGTTTCGTCGTGAGGAGGGGAGGGGGAGCTCTCAGGTGCTGGGGGGTTCCGGTGCGCTAAGTCGATCCCGGATCCCTCCCACTAGAGCACGCGAGAAGGCCACCGTTTGGTTTTAGCCGGTAGGAGTCCGGCTAAAACCGTACTAAGAGGTATCGTAAGAGAATTTCCCCACGAAAAAAAGTTAGGTTAGTGTATTAGCATTCAGGTTAATATATTAATCAAATATATAATCACGGATGAATATATAATAATACAATGGGGGAAACGAGAGTATGGCCATGATTGAAATTCTACTTAGTAAGTCAAATAATTCTATGTAATTTTGAATCTCTGTTGTATTTCGATTTCGATTTCGTAGGTACACAGAACAACCCTTAGTGCTCGAACTAAGCGTATTTAGTGAGCTATTCATTCTTGAGCCACCTTTTTTGTTACCACTCGTTTGGTTAATTTGGTAGAACAACTTGTTCCATAAAAATGTCGCACTTCAGACCTAATGTCACACCGACTACTATTCGAAAAAACGACAATGGTTCAGGCGAAATAGATGACAACAAGTAATGAAGGAGCTCTACGGAATGAGGAAGCCAAACTCTCGGATAAACGAAGCACTATATTGAGGTGCAGTGTGACATGCCAAATTAGCACGAGACGAAGCGTAAGCGCCGAGTTGTTCACTCATTCTCGAACTTAACGAATACTGCCAAATTTTAGCCATTCAAAGTTCCCAATCGGCTTTTTTTTTTCCTACGTATGTCGGCTTCACTTGTTCCTTACTCAGAAATTGTGCGCACACACATTGAGAGCACCCATATATTGCCTGTCTATAGAGGAGCTGCTGAACATATTATCTCACCTTATTTGAAGCAGGACATTGTACCACCATATGTTTTCAAATGAGTTACTCAGTCAAAGTTATTTTAATCTCAAGTCTACCTATGACACTGAGGGTGTTAGCAGGATGCGGCCCGCGCCGCCCGACTCCCCTCGAATACCCCGTTGTTGCTCTCCGTAAGTACATGCGAAACTGTATGGTTTGTAAAACTGTACCTATACCATAGTATAAGGCAAGTATGTAACACCAACACCATACAAACGTAGCAACGAGGCTTGTATGTGTGTGCCGCCACGCGCCGTGCATGCACCTACACACACTGGCATAATCTCGCTGTGCACTAGCGTTGCATAGCGCGAGTAGACGCACGCACCATTCTTTATAGAATTGAATCGATCGCTCAGTGTTGAAAAATGACATCAAATAGTACACTTGTGTAATCTTTTGTTTATGGTTGTTTTAACAAGAGTGCCTCCAATTCAGAATTGCTTAGCATTTCATGTCTATTTCATAATCATACTCCCATAATCGAGATACCAATCCACAATGCTGGTATGAAAATATCAATACTGCATTTAATGAAAATTCACTACAGCACAATAATACCTCGACCGACACCTAATTTTATTGCTTATAAACTGTAGGTGGAATTATAATAATAATGACAAAGCTACGCTCCAAGTAAAGTGTAGGCATTGACGACCCTAAGTTTAGGAAATGAAACTATTTTCGGGCCCTTTACAGGTCACACGATAACGGTAGACAGAAAACCATGGGACCTGTAAAGGGCCCGAAACGTCGGTTTGTTTGGCAAAATATACGGGATTTATATCCGGAAAAATAGTTTTTATTCCTATATGTATAACACTCGCGGAAACCTGAGCACTCGACCCTAATTTTATTATAAATTATACATTACGTGTCTTATTACACTATGGCTACGCCTACTAAAGTAACTAAAGTTTAAACACTGTAATATTACGTTGACAATATAAATGAATAAATTTTTTTCACAGTTACCGTATCGCTGAACATCACACTACTGGCATGCAGTCTACTGGGGCTTATATCTTGTGTACTGCTCATCCTTGGCGTTTATAAGGTAACATATACCCACACCTAACTTAAATTTTAGTGTCGATAGACAGAAAATGCGCTGTCGATTGTCGTTCCTTATACATGTATTAGTTGTGTATAATAAATCAATTATTTATTAAACTTTATTGACCACAACACACTTAATGCTAAAAGCATTCTCTACCAGTCAACCTTTGAGGAAAACGTAATTCACAATTGCGGCAAATTAAACAAAACATTAAATTAATAACGTAAATGCAATAAATATATAATCATATATATATATATATATATATATATATATATATATATATATATATATTTATTGCATTTTATATATATATATATATATAACAAGCAAACCTAATATATACATATCATATACACAATACAGATTTATATTCATATATGCTACATACAATAACAGAAGCTGATGATCATGACGATTATCGTTGTGACAAATTATTTAAAAGACGCTCATAAACATTCTTTTGGAAAGAGAATAAACTGGGAGACTTTCTGATGGAGTCCGGGAGAGCATTCCAGAGACGTGTTGAATGGAAAGTGAAGGCATCAGACATGAAGCCGGAATGAAAGAGAGGTGTAGAGAGTGAAAGAAAGTTAATGGATCGAAGGGGGCGATCATGAGAGTCACAGAGATACTAAAATTTACATTTTAAATATTCTGGGGTCTGCCACAACCTCTTAAAACAATATTACTTTAACCTTACATTGACTTTTCGTACCATAACGCGCTTAAAGTAAGCTTATTGTAATGTTAAAACTATGGTATTTTATTAGTAGCTTTGTGACTATTCATTCACTCAGTTCGTATTATAACGCGACTTTGACAGTAAAGTAATTTTGCTCTTATGTCGAATTTAGCAATCTTAAAATAGTTACACGAATGCAATGGGAACAATATTATTTTCAGTTTTATTATCTTAATATCGATTTGTAATGATTAAAAGTTAAGGTGAACTTATTTATTTACATATATCTCTTCAATATTTTGTTTTTTTTTATCTAATAGCACATAGGAAATAAGTAATTTCTCGTAAAATAAAAATACGCGATGTTTACTTCGTAAAATTATGACAGCGCCATCTATATGCTCCTTGGCGAAACTAACAGTTGACACTAGACTATTGTTCCGATTTCACAACGTGACTATCAAGACTCAGCTTGTTTTATTTATTTATCTTCATGAAAATACGGAATAATAATTGAATACGACGTAATTTTAATAGATTTCACTATTACATACTTTTATTGTTTTGGCAGTTAAAATTCTCCAAATGTAAATAATTACGTTTTTTAACATTATACTACGATAACACGATTCGGAAATCACAAAAGAAAGAGATGGCATTATACAGTTCATATAGCGTTATTTCTTTCCTACTTTTAGTAAGGAATAGACAATATTGGGAAATCATTCGTTCTTATAGTCACTTTAGCAATAATGCATTATTTGGTTGATAGGTTTAACATGGTACGAAAATGAGTGATATTACATTAAGCCTACTTTATGCTTACATTGAAATAAGATTGTGTTTGGAAAGGTTATGGTAGGCCCCCTGGATAGTGAGGATTTAAAAGAATGGAATACAACGTGCATAGTAGTCTCTTCTGTCTGCGTTGACTGACAGGGAAACATTTAAGTTAAGCCCTGAAAGAGGAAACAATATCAAAACGAAGGCACAAGATAATACGGATAGCATTATTGAGAAGGCGGCCAACCTTATCTAAAAGATCTTCATTAAAATCAGGGTAATAACGTGATCATACAAGTCGATCGTCAAAAAATCTAGCAAGTCTGTAGGCGCCTTAACATCGTTTGCAATCGAACAACTATCGAGAACAGTGCGTTTATTTTAACAATGCGCACTATTTGTACAACAAACATAAAAGTTAGGTACTTGAACGTAAAAAAATTCTATAAAATACGTGTGGTTATATTATAGGGTCTAGATCTAACCATATCTTAGTTATACGCTGTCCACAGTCTGATTGGCGAACGAAAGTTCCACTTTATAGCGTAGCATTTACTTTTGTCGCCTTAGGGTTGTTGCTCTCAAATTATGATGTTTCCTTAAAATTCAATTTATTTTAACTGGACTTTTAATATTCCAAAGTTTTTAAAAAAGGACATTGACGTTAGTAAGTAAACAACATTGGAATTTTGGTAGTGTTGAGCCATATACTTTGTTGTTTCAAGCTAACAATGAGTTAAAACAATGATAATAACATCCTAGTAACGCTTCAAGGCACAAAGTAAATACCACTAATTGGTAACTCACACTCACCACTAATATAAATATAGGCGTGCCGATACTTTGTATACCTTTCGTAGAATTGACAATGCAGTCCAATTACTTTGCGTAAACCTATGTTAGGAGTAATAATTAAATACTTAAACCAATAATTTAATGTTCATTTACCATTAGGTACTTTAAATTGAAAAACGTACAAATAAAGCTTACAGCCTTTCAGCATTTTTTAAAAAATAATTCTAAATATAACTTTTATTTCTAACAAAAGACCGGAACGAAAAACTTTGCACTCTTTTATTTACAAGAGTGCAAAGCAAAAGTTTCTAGCTCGACATTCTCTCGACCTGGCTATGCAGAATTGTGAATAATTATGTTTAACTAGTGTGTACTTATAATTTAAATGTTTTATCTTCATAATTATATAGAATGTTCAATGTTGAATGTGACGAAACCACACTACATGTGGGATCCAGTCGTCATCCCCACGAAAAAACAATGTTGTTTAAATTTTCAGTTACAGCCTTTTTTTTTCAGTTTTTATTTAAAAATCTACTCGAAGGGAAAGTGGAAGGCAGGCGTGAACGAGAACAACCGAGAACAAATTACTTCGACTACATAATAAGAATATAATGGCGTTCCTACACCGACAAGGGTCTAGCTCTTAAATCTAAGAGATAGTTACCCAATTTAGTTAACACATGTGGCATAAACTCTGGATTTCACAAGGACTTATTTTATTTGATTTCGTTGTATTATGTCCTATCTAGACCTACAAATGAACATAAACGTGGGGAGGTCAAGGATTTCGCGATATAGCTGTACCATATGTGTAACAATCGCGAAAACCTAAGAACTCGATATTAAGCAAATTGTTTTTTTTTTTATTTTCAATATTATGTTTCCACAAGTCTAATACATTTACAAGATCACTCCAAATCTTTTTAAATTCATTGGAACCAAAATATTTTTATTAAGGCCTTCAAAATAAAATATAAGTTATAGACGTAACCTTTTGTCGTCTGTAATTTTTTACCCGAAGTTCTTTTTAATAAACAAATAATAAGAAGGGGTCAGATCTGGACTTTCTATAAAGTTTTCAATGGTTCAATGTTTCGAAGTTGATTATCTGTAGGGCAGCCATTACGACATGGCTCTGGCCATGGCCAAGTTTGCAGCCATTTCTGCGATTTCTTTTTTCATTAAGCGAGACGTCTTCATAAGTTAGTGCCTCTACTTTTCAATGATATCCGAGGAAGGGGCTTCAATCGGCCGACTCGATAAGTGATCTTCTTCAGTTGACTCTGTTTTGCTTCAATAAACAAACTTTTATAAATTATTACTTTTTCCAGAGCAAGAGAACTTTACAACGGTATGAAACTTAATTCTGTCAATAGTTGGCGCTTTCTTCCCAATTGACTTGATACTCTAGCGATAACTACAATTTTGATTACTCGATTTGACTAAAATTTTACACCTATTGAGTGTTCAGATTAAAAATTTTGAGTAAAAAAATATTCTAAAAAACTTTCCCTCGTTAAACGAGAGTGTTTTTAGGCAAACTGTGAACATTTCTGTTAATTGTTTTCGTTTAGAAATAAAATCTATTACCACATAGTAGAATTAAGGTAAATGTCTCAGTGGTTGACGCTTTTAGACGGCAAATCACATGTTACATAAAAAAAGTACTTAATTATTAGTCATACTGAGTACCTAGGAATGTAAACATATTAAATGGTTTTATTGTAAAATTTTAAATAATCATAACATTATTAAAATATTCCAGTTTTCCGCAACCTCTAAAATTGTACCAGTACATGACAGGTAAAATCTCTAATGTCCCAATGGTTGACTATGGCAAAGTGACACCAGAGTACCAGTATTTGACAGGGTGTTATGTTAAGATTTCATAATAATAATAATAATAATAATAATAATAACGCTCACAATCAACATATTTCATAGTTATTTAGCTGAATTGATTACTTTATAATAATACATTTTAAAAAGAACAGAAGCCAAAATTAAGCAAGATGCTTTTATTAAGACTAATAAGTACATCTACAATAATATTGCAAAAAAACTTAACACAGAAATGAAACTTAAATGTCACACGATCATAACATATTTATATAGTTTTAAATAACATTAAAAAATATTGTCATTTTGCAGCGATAGGAATTAGACACTTCATCAATCGCCTTCTTCTTATTGCACTATAGGTACCTTCAGGTACCAACGGTTGACACTATTACGTTCTAGTGTTTGACACCTCAATATACGGCTGTCAAGCATTGGGTCTATTCTATTTCCTTAACGGCGTAGCTACTTTCACAGTCTAATGACATACGGCATTTTGCTTTAAGGTATTGCCGCCGATATCAATAGAATCTTTGTCCTGCAGAAACGTGCAGTTAGGGCAATGTACAATCTGGGCCCCAGAGTATCTTTGAGAGATAAGTTTAAGGAAATTAACATTTTTACACTAGCCTCACAGTACATTTATGAAAATGTAATTTATGTTAAAAGGAATAGTAATTTCTTTATGAAAAATAGTGATAGACATAGCATTAATACGAGGAATAAAAATAAACTAGCTTTTCTTGATAATCGTCTTCACGAAGTCAAAAATACATTTAAGGGGCAATATATATGCTTCTATAACAAGATTCCGGTTGATATACAGAATTTACCTTTCACGAGGTTTAAAACTATAGTGAAACAAAAATTTTATACTAAAGGTTATTATACA